AGAAGGAGAAGGAGAAGGAGAAGGAGGAGGAGAAGGAGGAGAAGGAGAAGGAGAAGGAGAAGGAAAAGGAGAAAGAAAGAAGAACCATTAGAACCAGACTGAAAGATGGCAAGGATCTTGGAATTACCAGACTGGAAACTTAAAACAACTAAATTAACCTAAGAAGAGCTTTAATAGAAAAAGTGGGCACCAAAAAGAAGCATAGGCAGTGATATAAGCAGACAAATGGAAATTCCAAGAAAGAATCCATCAGAGCTGTTAGAAATTAAAGGCTTGTAGCAGAAATAAAGAATACCTTTGAAGGTTAACCAATAGACTGTCAGCAAGTGGGAAGAATCAGTGACCTTGAAAACTATCAGTAGAAACTTCCAAATCTGATCTTCAATAAGGGGGGAAAAAAGAAAAAAAGACTTACAACAGAATATTCTGGAACTGTGGGATAACTACAAAGCATATTTACTTATACATAGCTGGAAAAGTTGGAAAAGAGAAGAAAGAAAAGAAGCAGAAGAGACACTTGAAACAATAATAGCTAAGAATTTCCTCAAATGAATGTCAGACACCAGACCACAGATCCAAGAAGCTCCGAGAACACTAAAAAAGATGAAAAAGATTTTAAAAAAGAATCTATAGCCAGCTGTGGCAGTGTGGTCTATAATCCCAACTTCTCAGGAGGCAGAGGAAGGAGGATTTTTTGAGCCCAAGAGTTTGAGAGCAACTGATGCCCTTGGCTCTTCCTCTGGTGAGGAGGTGGGAGCACACCCCCTCTGGGAGGGGGCCCTCCCGTGAGAGCAACTGATGTCTGAGATTGCCTTTTGTTCCTTCCTTTTGTCATTTTTTATAGTGATGATAGATGGGTGGAGTGAGAGCCAGAGAGAAGGGTAGGTTGGCCAAAGCTCCTGCTGGGTGGTGTTCAGTGTGTTTTCTACCTCCTTAAGGAAAAGGGGCCAGCAGTAGTTCAAGAAGGATCAGTGATGGTGAGTGTAGGTTGAAGATGTGCAAGGCTCTCTTGATGGTGGATTGGCTCAAGGTAGTGCTCCTCAAGGCTCCTGCAGGTTGCAGTATTAGTCAGTACTCCTGGTGGTCTTCAGGGAGAGGAGGGGCAGTGAACTCAGCAAACTCCAGGGGGTGTTAGTTTTTATATAGTTGGGATTCTCTTAATATTTTTGTCATTGATAGATTAATTTTTGTTGTGGTCAGATAAAAAAAAACATTTGATTTTTGTCATTTGATATTTCATATGCTACTTGTATCTGAAAATAATGTGAATTCTGATGTAGGGCACAGCATTCTATTTTAATGAGATAAAATTAATTGTATTTCTTAAACTTCTACACCTCTACTCTATCAGCTATTGAGAATGAAACAGTTATGTTTAAGTGCTTAAGTCTTTCACTATGGCTGTGGAAACTTTTAAAGTTTTTTTATTTTTTTGTTTTTGATATGGGGTCTCGTTACATAGCTTGGACTCATAGTGATCCTCCTGTCTCAGCCTTCCCAGTGCTGAGAGTACAGGTGTGTGTCTCCATGGGTTTTGGTGGCTAGCACAGCATGCCCGGGTTCAAGGGCCCATTAAGTCTGCTGTACTGGAGATAGAACTCAGGTCCTTGTGCTTGCCAGGTAGGCACTTAAACCATGGAGTTATCTCCCCAGCCCAATGGAGACTTTTAATATGGTCAATGTTTGCTTCTCATAGTTTAATTATATGTTATTAGGTGCACACAGATTCCTAATTCTGCTATCTTTTAGTTGGATTAACTCCTTGAGCTTTATGCAATGTCCTTATTTATTTATTTATTTATTTATTGCTTCTTGACTTAAATCCTTGTCTGACACTAGTGTAACCAGCATCAGCATTTTTTTTTTTTTTTT